TGCTATATTTATTTTATCTATCTATAATTATTTGCCTGTGCTTTATCTATTAGTTCCCATTTATATACTGTAGAAAATTTTGAATACCTAATCTGTTAAAGGGACTATTTTTTCTTAAAATTATTTCAATTTAGTGCATTATTAATGTCTTTAGTGCTTGGTTTGGTTGATATTAAATTTAGATATATTTAAAATGTATGTTTTGGGACCATGGGGTGGGGATATTGTGAACATATATATTATATTCTCAGTTCTTTTTAAGGTTAATTGTAAAAAAAAAATTAAATAGCTTTTTTTGAGGGGTGGGGGGATATTGTTATTATTGAACACAATTTTATTAGTATTGAAATTAACTTTTTTGATTAATATTCCAAATGTCTCGGTGCTTTATTTTTCAATTTAAATAGCTACTTTTTATTTAATAATTGGGAATGGGGGGGGGGGGGTATTTTTTCATTGTATAACACAATTTTATTAGTATTGGAATTAACTTTGTTTATTAACCTTCGAGATGTCTGTATTGGTATTAATTAGGCATTAATTTATTTTTTCATATCATTTATTGAATAAATAATAATTTAACAAACAAAATTATTATGTCATTTATCAATAATTACAGTTTAAACAGAACGAATGGAAGGGGTTGCATTCGAAAGGTTGTTATACTGGATATAAATTGGTAAAATACAACACAAGTTTTTGTTATACACAAGTTTGTACGAAACAACACGAGTTTCAGAAATTTCAACACAAGTTTCAGAAATTTCAACACAAGTTTCAGAAATTTCAACACAAACAAGTTTCAGAAATTTCAACACAAATAATGTGTAGATTTTCACACAAGTTTTGTGTTGTTTCAACATTTAACACAAGTTTTGTGTTGTTTCAACATTTAACACAAGTTTTGTGTTGTTTCAACATTTAACACAAGTTTTGTGTTGTTTCAACATTTAACACAAGATTGTGTTGTTAAATAGAGACACCTAACTTGTGTTGAAAATAACACAAGTTTGTGTTGTTTCAACACAAGTTTTTTTTCAGTGTACTTTTCTGCGCCGAAATGGCCAATGACGACGGTGACAGTATCACTCGCAAACTAATTGAAATAATGTTTGAATAATATAATAATTAGATAAAAATCAAACACTGATTAATTTGAGTAGAATGTTTGTACAGCCCGATAGTGTCAAAGTTAAAAGGTTAGTAGCTCGTAGAAGTCTAAGCTGATTGTGCGAAATCTATTTGTTAAGGCCAGCTCAATTTCTATCAAGGTCGCTGAGATGTAAATAAGGTTAGGACACGTGATTGTTGGCGAGATTTTAGGTTAGGGTAAGTATTGGGGCTATGGCCAAGGTTTGGGTTGGGATTAGCGCTAGCCCTGTTTACATCTCGTGACCTATGACCAAAAATGGAGCTGGCCTTATCATTTAGCACTAATCAGCAGATTGTGAACATGATCTAATATCAGCAACATACCTGATGTATCTAGAAACCCAAATCACTTAAAATTGATCATCGCATGTTTTTCCGATCCTTTAAGAAGATCCTTCAAAATCGACTTGAAGTAGGCGGTGATTGCCGCTTAGGACACACGTTTCAGAGGATTATTTTACTTGTGTATATCAGGTTTTGATATAAAAATCGTCTGATTAATGATAGTTTCAGAGATCTTTCCAAACGTTGATCTGTAAACTTCAAGTAGAGCCATTAGCCACATTGTTCTTTAACATTCTTTAAAATCGGGGAACAGGTAATCATAAACATTTAAATCGTTGTTTAAGGGCCGTTGCTTAAAGTAGCAATATCATCCAAAGACTTCGACATCTTTTTATTTTCTAATGCATGGAGCATTTTAAATCTGTAATATGTACTGCTGTAGCTATGTCTCTAACTCAATATCATCCAAAGTCTTCGACATTGAAAACATGGATTATTTGTCAGTTTAAATCAACATTGATGTTGTGACCTTACCGAGAAAAGATGGGCTTCTGATATCCAATATTTAAGACACAATAATTATTTTGCGATTGGTACACGACTCGTGTACCACAATGCGTTTCAGTGTCATTTATAACAAGGGACTAAAGGAACGAGGCCAGACATGTTCCACAAGTCATGTTAAATTGTGACGCCAAATTCTTATATAGAGAGCATGCGCAACAGATATTATCGGCGTAAACTGGAATAACCAGACGCTAGAGATTGCCATTCGATTGAGATTTCTGGCGTATTTCGCCGAACATTACTGATTTGAAATTAGAGTAAAAAAGGAAACGATTGAATGTAAATCAGTGCATATACATTCATATTGCATTAATTATATGCGTTGCGACCCACTTGTGTCAATTTCTAGGTCCCAAATATTAGCGTTTTACTTCCTTTAAGTTTCTCACTTGAACCGGGTGTTGAGTTCATTTGTCTGGTTTTCTTAAAATGCATGCATAAACACAAGAGAACGAGTAACATTAAAACTTAAATAAAGTACGTTGCTGTGTGCAAGACCCTTACCGCTACCTATTGTTAAACGGGTTTGGGGTTGGGTAACATTGGCAAATAATCCACGATTAAACTACTGGTGGAAAATGGCAGCGCTGTTTTTTTTGTTGGAATTTATTTGGTGGTGGTGGTGGTGGGGGGGGGGTGACCGAATGGGTAGCGCGTGCGCGTTGTATTATAAGGTCTATCATTGAGTCAATTGGCTTGTTTCGATTACCCGGTTGTACGTGACAAGGAGTAGGATATCTCTCTCTCTCTCTCTCTCTCTCTCTCTGTTGTTTTTGATTAAACTTATAAAATTAGTACGTTTAACAGTTTTGAGTAATGTGAACTCAGTGTTTTTTGCCATTTATAACTTACATCATCTTTACTCTCAGCTTAGTTGACAGATTACACTTATTAGATGCCCCACAAACCCATCGACCCCCCCCCCCCCAATTTAAAGAGAGAGAGAGAGAGAGAGAGAGCGAGAGAGAAATGGGGTTTAACGTCCACTCGACACAAACTAGGTCATTTCGGGATTAACATATGGTTTAATTTTTATTTCAATAATTCGCTTGCGCGTAGGGGTCTTTAGCAGTGGGAGGAAACCGGAGGACCCGGAGAAAACCCATGAGGTTGGACAGGCGACCCTACTCCTTGTCACGTACAACCGGGGATTCGAAACCACGCCAGTTGACTCAATGACAGGTCTTATGTTACAGCACGCACGTGCTAACCATTCGGCCATCCCCCCCCCCAATTTAAAAGCCAACTTTTTTTTAAGAAACACCGACAACTGTAAGTAATCTAGAAGCTTCCAATGATTTATGTCCGACAGAAATCCATTATTTTCCCACTTTCAGAAATACTGGCGTGAGATTTTCGATTGTTGTAACCCAATTGTATATCTAAACCAGGCGTTGATATATTATCGGGTTTCACTGGCCTAGACAAATAAACGATTTTTGATGAAAAGTATTTTGAAAACAGAATATAAAGTAGACAAAAACTACAGCTTATATTATTTTACAATACTATGCTACAGATTGATTTGTCATTAGATTTGTAACGAAATGCTTTAATTTGAAAGTAATATTTCGTTTTAAACATTGATTAGTTAATTTGAATAGAGGATCTGTTAATGAATGTTAAACTGTCAACGAGATAAAGTCTTTCATCACAAACAACTAATGCGTAAACGTAATAATGAAACTGATGATGATGACGATGTAATCGGAAATACACCGTTCAAAAATGAATTGGCGTTTAAAGTCCCACTTTTCGGCTCCGACTGGGCTAATGAAACCGGGCATACACCACACCGAGGCGCTACGGTCTACTCTTATATCGATTTAAAACTAACAAGGGGTATTTACGTGCACACTAATTTGTACACGGGACCTTGATTGTTCTTATCACCCGAACAACTATACGTTATCCATTCTGTGTGAGCACAAATGGGTCGTTTGATCTACTCTTTGTAATATTTGAATCAGATGTAAATTGTCCTTTTCTTGAACCACACAGAATTGCGGACCTTAGTGCATCACCCATTCGATTGTGGGATTGACTCCACGAGCCGGGATACTTGCAGAGGTTCTCCGTCTTTCTCCACCGCATGAAGCCATGTGCGAATAATTTGTGCCATTCTCCAAATAACTTAGGGGTGTGGCGTGGGCTTTAAAACCATTTAAACGTAAGAAATATCCCAGTGATATATTGTAGGGTGACCCACCATAAATAAATATCTCCATATATCTCGACAATTACGCCACAATATTTATATATATGCCAAGCCTCAAATCAGTTTCACACAATTATAGTCACTAAATAAACGATCATGTTGTACTTAATTAGCTATGACCATTAATCATGTATAAATAATAGACTGAAAACTGGTTCCAAGAGTCGTCCATAACATCCAGACACTTTTGAGTAAAAGATAGGTTACGTGCCCTTGTTTTGAAATTAGTCTCGCTTAACCAGTCTATCGACCATTCTACGTCTGATTGACAGGTCGGGATAATCAAGACTACTTTTTTACGAAACGTATCAGAAAGCTAGAACAAGAAATTGAATTTAGAAATAAGCTCGTTAGGTAGCTCAACAATCGTTTTAAGAAGCTTGTAAAAGTAAAATGAAACTACTGCTAGTATCATGTTCCTGCCTAACCCGAGTGATTCAGAGATATTATTTGTACTAAACCAAAAGATACCGCTCTTAACGGTACAGTTAATGATAAAGCGATCTGCTGTAATAACCAAGAAGCTTAATTTAACTGCTATTCAAAATCGTCAACAATAAATTTTTTACGGCTGTAATAGTTGATAGATTTGTAGAGAATTGCACGTGCCATGGCTATTTATAGTATCATACTGTCAGAAAGTTGGTCTCGGCACGGCGAATGTGCACGCTTCAGTGGTAGTCTCGAACTATCAGCGGTGGACTGTATTTCTGTGAGTACATGGGTCACCCTATATATTGCGTATATTCTTACTTGCAATAATCTTTATTCATTTCAGGTTGGCGTGAGGCTAATACAGACAGAATTAAAACTGGTAAAGGTTCGCGTTAACCAGATGAATTGAAATCGACTAAGCTACAAAAAAGAAGAAGAGCCACCAGGAAAAAGTCATTTAGATAGCTTCGAGTGACTTTCTTATAAGTAACAGTGAAGGATAACTGTACAACAAAATACAGACAGAGCTAATGATACAGGTACGCAGCTAGACACAACAATTCGTACGTGTTAGTTTTCCAAAAATATATTCTACAAAAAATAACTGTGTTGCGGCTGTGTTAGTTGACACTGGTTTCATCGGATGAGAAGCTATTCGGACATATTGAAACGACAAAAAATCTTTGGTTGGGCTGTACATATTGGTTGACCGCCATCTTGATCTTTAGAAGAGCAGGTTAGAGAAATCTGACTGAAATATATCCTACAAAATCGCGAATCTCAGACTAAATTATGTACTCAAGGGTCATAAGTAGCGCGTGTTTATGTTTAAAGTCGATTGTGTTCAGTATATCATTTTGAACATTAACATTGTCTTGTGATCAATTACTCGACTTACGATAGACTGCCAATAACAATAACGAAACACGACTCCATAATTGATCTGAGAGGAAGGCAAAGTTACGTTTTAAAAAAACGGTATTAATAAAAACTGTTTACATTACGAAAATGGCGTAGTTCAAATAACCCTTTTTTAAAGAACCACTACCGCCGTGACACTTGTATGGTCAGAAATGATTAGGTGTGTTTTATACCCAGATAACAATATTACGTAAATACAACGATGTGGCTGCGTTATGAGTTAGTTTCAATTAAAGTTGTGTTACGTATATCCATTTAGCGCACAAATTAAAATAGAACTAATAGTCAATTTATAATGTAGTGAAACTGGTGAATGGCATTTTAGAGTGACCTATGGAAAAGTTTAATTTATCTGTCACGAGTGAGCCGAAACATACGGTAACAGAAAGCGCTACGACGTTTTCTAATTACAGTTTAGACGACTTCCTGAATGTGGCCTTAGAATATCAGGAGTTAGACCATTGGTTCCCTGCGGATCAGGAACTGTATCTCATAATAAGTTTCTCCATTGTTATGATTTTAGGGTCTATTGCTAATCTGGTTCTGTGTTGGATTATTTGTCGTCGCGGATTCGCTCAATCAAGCCGTAATTGGTACATTCTTAACCTAGCCATTTCTGATATCCTTACTATTGTGCTTTGTCAGCCATTTGTGGTTGTGCGGATTATCTTTAAAAACTGGACGTTTGGGGTGATTTGGTGTAAAATAGTACCCGCCGTTCAGAGTACATATGTTTTTGTGTCGACGTTAAGTATTTTAGCCCTAGCAGTGGATAGATATAAATCTATTATGTATACGTCCTCAAAAACAAACAACCGGAAGGGGGCGTGTTTTATTATATCAGGAATATGGTTCGTCTCGTTAGTGCTGTCATTTCCGCTATTTTTGACTCATGAAATTGATGCCATATATGGACTAGAAGAGGTCATTCTGTATAATATATGCACAGAAAGGTGGATGTCTCAGTTGTTTCTTACCTTATATACCGTTATGGTTCTTGTCATTCAATATTTATCACCAGTCGTTGCCATAGTAACATTACACATCCTTATCTGTCAATCACTTAAGTTTAGAATAAATTCACGTGAAGCCTGCCAAATGGACATGCGCAGAATACGAAAGAAACTGTTACGTCATCGAAAGAATGTGATGTTGCTAACGAGCATGGCGGCATCGTTCGTGGTGACTTGGTTACCGTTAACATTATTAAATATCATAGCTGACACGAATCATAACATTTTTAAACAAACAAACTTTCCACTTATACACGCTTCATGTTTACTTGTTTCTTTTACGTCTGTTAGTGTTAATCCGGTGATTTATGGATGGTTTAATTCCAACTTTAGAAAAGACATCAAAAACGTGTGCGAAATCAATGCGCCAGACAGGTGTCCGTTGTATGCGTTGATATGTCGCAGACAAGCGCGTCAAGTTGATGCCGGTTTACTGCTGTATTCAACTGTACCCCGTGACCCAGTAAGAACGCACACATCACGTGACACAACGGTTGTTTGAATAAAATGTTTATATCAAATCGTCTTCTGTCCATTATTCAAAAGGTGTCAGGAAGTTCTTCTCTAATGTGACATAGCGAACACCTAGCCTAGACTCGGTTATCCGCCGTCCTATCTAACCGATAGTTTCGTATGCCAAATGCGCATGGTGCCAAAAGTAATCAATCAATGATTTGACACCAATCACAATCAAATCGAGCATATCTTTAAAGCGTCTAGGTAGTCATCAGATAAAAATGTGTTGGGGTCTGTAGCTAAGGCAAATGAAATGCATGACCTATCATCACCTTTGAATTCTTTGCACTGTCCACTGATGTTATCAACCTTTCAACCTTTTGGGATGAAGTTAGTCTCGATTATATAGTAATATAACATCAACTTTATACCAACAGTTGATGAAGTAACCCAAACCAGATTGTTATATACTGAATGATCGAGACTTGTAACTCGTTTATGGCGTATAATAGCATCATGATAGGTAATTCAACCCTCCCTGGTAGTGAACCGAGGTGATAAAATCCTACAACAGACACCAATTCAATTTTCTCTTTCCGACTTAACCAAAACAGATCTCACAGTGCCGAAAATTGGAAATACGAAATCTTTCATTGAAATTTATTCAGATGACTCTTATCTCCTATCTGTTTGAAAGACGGGGCCACGGTGGCTCACTGTGTAGTACGCTGGCTCACTAACCTGCAGGCCCCGTGTTCGATTCCTGCGTTGATCAAGAAAGTTCATCGGGATTTTCCCCTTGTCAGTGATGTGGAACGGATGTCCTGGCAAGGTACAACGTATAGTCGTTCGGATGGGACGTGAATGAGTCCTTGACAGTTGGAATTCGAAATAAGAGTAGGCCCTAGCGCCGATGTCCAGGTAAAATGTCTCTCATACCATACTGCATGGCGTATGCCCGTCTTCATTAGCCCAATAGGAGCAGAACTGAAGGACCTTAAACCCCATTTCATTTGAAAGACTGGGAGTGGGTTTTCGAATTACTTTAAATTTAGGTGGTGTGGATAAAAGGTTGAACTTGAAGAGGACAGTAATTATGATATAACCAGTTAAACAATCAAACCTAAATCTTCTAATTCCAACCCCGACTTCCAGCACTAACTTGTAAGTTCTATCATTTTTATATTGCATTATAGAGTGTCTTGTTAACCAGGGCGCTACGCATACAGCAAATTAATGTCTGCATAAGCAAGCTTATTTAGCAAAGGCTCGTTCTCTTCTTCTTGTGAGCCAAGGTAGAATAATTCAGTTTTACATTCATAAGACGCTACACGATTCACTATGTTTGTATAATCCCACTTGCATAGTTCCGACACCTTATCTCGACATAAACCTCCCTCGAGATATCTGCACAACCATTAATACATTAACGACTTGCTACAATCCATGTTATCAATAATTACATCGGTTAATATAAACTCCAACACTACTTATAGAGATACTAGCCCATACGGTCCCCAGAGTCCATTGACTTACGGTAACCTGTTTTCCAATGTTTTCTAACATTCAAAGACGAAGCAGATATTTTCAGTATTTTTTTGAGTAAATGACATTTGACATAAAGTGTAAGTGATTTCGAGACTCGCATGGACGTAGGGGTCTTTAGCAGTGGGGATAAATCGGAGGACCTGCATAAACCCACGATATTTGGCAGGCGACCCCCCCTTCTCACGTACAAGTGTAAGATCGAAACCGTACCATTTGACACGACGACAAACCAAAGCGCACCCATAGACCACTAGACCGACCAACCCCAATCAACTATTTTAAACCAACGATGAAAATTTAAAACACATACGTAAATCCCAGATACATCCTCAACTGATGTCGCTTACATTGGTTATAAAACAAATGGATACATATGGGCTTTAATGACCTTCTGTTCTGGTCCGACTTGGCTAATGAAGACGGGCATATGATTGTCTCCTACAGTGTGCATGAGATAAATTTTGTCCGGACAGTGGCTCAACAACTTACTCTTATATCAAATTCGAAATGACAAAGAGTTATTTTATGTGCACGCCGAAGTGTAAACGGGACCTCGGTTTTTCGTCCCATCAGAGCTATCATACGTTGTCCCTTACCACACATTCCGTACTGGACCACTCACAAGCGTGAACCATGTCGGAGAGGTCCGATGAACTTTCTTGGCCACCACAAACGGGGGGGGGGGCAGTGTCAACATCTGTTATTATGACACCATGCCACAAGTTCGTGTCACACAGTGTGACTATAATTAATGTCATAATAAACACAATACAACTGGTTTATTATGAATATGGCGCGGCGTGTATTCTATTATCGCTAAAAATGCTATGAGAACACCTGTCAAAACGTCGCGCCATATGCATTCTAGCCAGTAATTATATTCCATATAAATGGTCTCTGTGCTCTAAATGTGACTAATAATAATGATAATAAACAATCGAACCAGTTGCCGCACTACCAAACCGTAAGGTAGCTAACCCCAATCCATCTTAATGTTTAGTAGGTAATCCTTCGATAGTGTAAGAAGGCTTAATGAAACTAAAACATTCTAATCTTAATAAAGACATTTCGGGCGAAAGAGAACCACATAATACCATCACTGGTATGGACTACAATTATTATTTAGTGCTTTAGTACTGAGCGACGATTCGACAATATGCTTCTCTAGTAACAAGCAGTTATTGTAGTCCATAAAATTGCACCTATGTACCCAAGTTCAATTACTAAATGCCATTGAAACAATTTAATATAATATCAGTACACCATTTAATGACATAATACAATATTTTGTTGAAATAAAATCACGTAGAAATTAACCATATTTTGATAAAAAAAAAGAAATATATATACAGATATTTTGCCAAAATGATTTTAATATAATTAAATCGTGTAAGTTAATTTTACGATCACACCCCACCACGATAAGTAGACGGATTTCACTATTTCTGACAGAAGGTATGCTAGCTTCCGGTATGATATGATGTAAATTGGCGCTATTAACATTGATGCAATAACAAATCATATTATGTCACATTTACGATGGTACCGATTCATCATCATCGCTGAAATAATTTGACAGCGTGAATTTTACTAATTTGTTAACATCTTCGTCATCTGCGTATTGCGTGAAATCTTCTACGTTGTGCCATCTGAATTGAATATAAATTCGTCTTCGGATAGGAGTCTGTCCTCGTCATATGGATAGGGTATAAAATCGTCATCCACAATACATCTAGGCGGACAATATGATGGCAATATGTTCTCATCAAGTAAACACGGTGTAAATTCATCATTTGTTGGCAATATATCCTCATTATATGAATACGGTATTAAACCATCTGTGTAGAATTCATCTTCATCACCATCATCAAATGTGGCCCCTACTTTGGTAACTTTAACAGTTGCTTTTATTCGGAAGTTGTAATTTTGGTCTAAGAAACCATACCGTGCATCCGTAAGCGTCTTCCAATCTAAATACGATGGAACATCCCAATTGGGCGTTTGTTGGTTGAACGTCCGGTTAGTATTAAAAGTTATGGACTGACCATCAGTATTATTTATCAGTGTGCACATAACCTGTACAGAACAGTTTGTGTCGTGTGTCATTCTCCAGTACAAACCAACTCCTAAAGTTGAATTATCATCTTTCTTTTGTTTTCTAACCCATAAATACCACCCATGTCCGTTGATATGGTAAACAGTACCGTAAACCCCTTTACCTTTCTGGGGCCTGTTTCACGAAATTTTAACTAAGATAAAATCCAAATTTTAGTAATTTGATTGCATAATATTAGATTGATTTCAGTGCTTAGCCAATCAAAATTGATTCTTGTGTATTGTATGTCTAGTACACTCATTCATTAAACGTTATCAGTAGGTACGGTATATGAGGGAACTTTTCAATTCCACATAACTAGAATACCATGTGTCCGAATTCCACAATTCTTGTATGGGGTAGAGTATGCGTTACATTTCTAAAATATAAAATACCATTTTGCATTTAAGGAGTTGACAATTCGCAAGTGATCATTTCAGGCATCCACGAATCTACGTTACGGATCAACCATATCAAAAGTTTATTTCCAAATCTATAAATCTATTTATTTGGAATCTATTTAACCTCTATCACAAATGTAGACTCTATAACTCGAGGTCACGAATCAACCATTTCAAAGATTTTTATTTTTTAATATTGTATATGGTATTCAGTCCAGGGGAGGATTGGGGCCGGGAACCAGCCCGGGCTCCCGTGTCGGAGCGGCCCCTTTTACTGACCGCGGAGCCCGGACGGGGGGGGGGGGGGCTCTCCCACGGGACAATTTTGAAAAATGCGATTGAGTGGCATATCTGATTATAATCTTTGTCAAACCCCGGCCTGCAAGTAATTTATAACCATCAACCTATGCAATTATGATATCGTCATATTATTAATTAACGTATTATCATAGTGTCGTCAAGAGTCAAGTCAAGAGAATTTAACTGGTTAAAAAATGGGACAAGTTGAGAAAATTTTGACCAATCACTCTTTTTTCAAAATACGTGTATTTTACACCCGGAATATCCAACTTTCTCAAACAGCTCTTTTCTTGTTCATCTTGAACTCGCGGAATTCTGTTGATTACCTGAACAATAGATTTATCGTTTAAAACATCTGCTGAAGATTTTACACTGGCGTTTAAATCACCAATTGATGTTTTCATTTCTCCAAGAATCTGCAGCAGCTTTCCGGTTTCTTCAACACGGGATTTCCCAATCTGACATTTGACCTCCTCTCCAAGTTCTTTAATTTCACAACAGATTTGTTCAACTTGTTTATCAACAGTTTCGCAAGAGGTTTTAGCTGAGTTGTTAATATCTGCTATAACTTTTTCTATAGATTCGCAATATTTTTCAAATTCATTTATTCGACCCCCTAAAACGTCTTTTAAACTTCTCAATTTTTCTCTGAATTTATCTACGTTGTCCCTATCCTGCAAGTCAATGAATTTGTGGGAAATATGGCTAGTCACAAAACAATCAGAGCAAACAGCTATTGAACAATCTTTACAATAACATCTGGCTTCTCTTCCTTGGTGATTTAGACAAACGTCCTTAGACTGTTGATCTGAGCATGGATTCACAATAACATCATCCATATTTACAACTACATGATCTCGACATCCTTTAAAAGAATCATGTGTTTCTTTGCAAGAACTGCACAAATGTTTTTGACAGTCCTGACACCTAAATTTAGAATTTACACAAGTTTTACATACATCACATGGTGGAATTTCATTTATACGTATTAATATCTCTCCTATACCAGAAGTAGCAGGGAATTCACCTATACCACCTTCGGGTACCTTCACATATTGACGGCACAATGGACATGGAAACCGATTGCATGTCGAGACCCTGTTGATATAATCTTCTAGACATGCCAAGCAGAAGGAATGTTGACAGTCGATTAGTTTCGGTTGTTTAAATTCGTTTAAACAAATACTACATATCATTTTATCTATTCTTTCTGCCATTTTGATACGATATATTTCACTGTAACCCCCCAATACGATTTTATACAATATAATTCACTATATTCCCCTGGTACAGTACTCAGTAATGCAGAGAAAAGCACAATGTTCAGTGCACTACATACATGTATATAGTTCAACGTTATTCCTAAAGTACAGTGTATTGTCACATGTAATAATCCAAGTAGTTTACTGATATTCACACAGCGGAATAGTGAATACCATTCACTATACAATCAACAACCGTGTATATATTTACTTATACGTTGCCCTTTATGCCTTAAGTTATAAAACATACTTTTAAGAAAGCATTTATATGAACGAAACGCCAATATTGTTGGTAATTCTTATGTGCAAGAAAAATAAACTAGGTTATCCAGGCTGTAGCTAAGTAGGCTACTATTATTGTATTACCTAACGATAATGCATTATAGTGTTATGCAAAGCAAAACCTATTTAGCGCATTATCATATAGTAAACGACCATTTAGATTAGATTATTAAACGACCATCTGGATTAGCGTATTTTCATACATTAAAACACATTTTCTAAACTACTGGGCTTAACGTTTGCCATGACATAATTAATTGCGCTAAATTATAATTGAAGCGCCCGGTACGCTAAATTGGTTAACAGGATACCGTTTAAATCTGAAATAGACGGAGCTTTGCATAATCCACTACATAATCATTTTTATTAAACAAAGGGCTCGAGCCGTTGTAACTACTGACACTGTATGGACAAATGGCCACACGAGAACAAACTTTGAGAGATTTGTTTTGGGGACTGTTCTATCCCTGACTCCGTTAATACCATTACCTCGTACTATGACAAAGGATTTATTAGGGGTCTCCTCCGAGACATTTTGCATAGTGTCAATTGTGATTTGTAGCGTATATTTATCTCACAAAGTTAACAGGCTAGTATTATCTCAGTTTAAACCAAAAGAATTGAAATAGTGAATGTCTCATTTTTATTGTATAGAATGCTTGTTACCACCCTTCTCCAACCTTCCCCAGCAATTTAAAGGGGTGTGTTGTGAATTTAGAACAAGTTAGAAGCATATTATAGGAAGTGTATTGAGAGCTAATTTATCAAATTGTGACGAGTAAGATGGATGACAGAGTAGTTAAAGACAGGAACTACCTCGCTCTCGCTGATTTTGTCCGCAAAAAATCTATTTCTGAACTCTTTGTTAATGGGGGGTGGGGCGAACGGCCGAATGGTTATCATGTGCGCGTTGTATCATAAGGTCTTTCATTGGGTCAACTAGCGTGGTTTCGATTCCCGGGTTGTACGTGACAAGGAGTAGGGTTTTCTCCGGTTTTCTGTTAATATCAACATGGTACGTTCTTGCACAGTTCCCTGTGTATCCTCTATACCACATGACATTGGCGTGAACACGATTTCCAACACGAGAGTGGGATTCTAATTTTAAATTTTTCAAAATGTATTTTTGGGCTTCTGATATCCAATATTGAAGACCAGGGTTAAAATTTTAAAATTGGCACACAAATCGAGCACCAGTTGTATGAAGCGACTCGATGTATGAGTGACCGGAGATCAAAGATTGTCATTCAATTCTGACTCTTCTTGCATTTTACCCGTAACCTCGAGTGAAAGTTATGAGTACTGATATTTGTGTATTTTATGCCTGGTCTTCATAATTTTATGCTCATGAATGGAATTTTAGCATTCCGGGTGACTAGAATCCCCAGTTTCTGAATTCCACAATTAACGTTTTCAGTGGGTACTGAAATGAAATTTTAGCATTCTGGGGATGATTAGAATGCCTTAATTCTGAATTCAACAACGAATTTAAAGTCGCGCTTAATGTCTTGAACGAGACATGGTGTGCTTAATATAACACTTCTCATTTTCAGGAGTTGACATAATTAACCCATTTTTGTTAAGTACATCTGTATATTTTGTTGCACTGGTTTATATTTTTCGAATACCACTTGATTATTTTGTGCAATTCTGACCATACATATATAAAATTCGCCCCTAATCTGTGGCGTGGCGGGGTGGGGGGTCCACGGCAACAGCCCCCCTCCCCCGCCTCAGACTTTGCCTACGGCGCTCGATTCTATTCTGTCATCTTTATTCCACTCCGCTGTGGTCTTATACTATATCATCTCTATCATATTCCCAGTTATAGTGAACCGCCAAGTTAGCAGTACCACTGCGTCGAGCGACAGATTGTACGAATGTTCTGTCAACTGTCACAAAACGGGCAGAATTTTCAGGCATATGTCTCGCGATTCTGTCCCATTTCTGTCCTCTAGTTAACAAGAATTTGCTCTGAGCAATGACATCAAATGCCAGGATATTAAACTCAAATTTTCAAAATATTCTCGGGGGTGTATGTGGTGTGGGGCATATCCCTCTCCAGGTTTTTCGCTATATTTACTTGCATAAAAGTGTCTAACTATATAGACGATGCGATCTATGTTGATATTTATTGTGAAGGGGGGGGGGGGATGGCGCCCTAGATTTGGAACCGCCCCCTCCTTTTCGTAGCTTTTAGATCCGCTATTGTTCCAATCATCCATGAATCGAGGTAGGGGTCGATCATAAAAAATATATTTATTTCAAAATTATATATATAATTTAATCAATATATACATATTTAATCAATATAACCACACAAGTAAAATCTATGAATCGAGTTTATGGATCAACCTAATGTTCAGTATTTTAAAAATTTTATATGGTATCTCTTCTGTCACATATGTAAAATTTATGGGCGCTGGTATTGTCGTACATGCAAGTACGACGGGCCAGGCTTTTAATTCGCTTATATAGGTTTATATTTCTATCAGCAGAAATACGTCCCTATTCATTTAAACAACCTTAATTTACTCCGCTATTTAGAGGATAATTACTCTAGTGGTAGTAATAAACCTACATGTAACTGATCGAAATGTGCAACCGTAAAAAAGACATTGTCAGTTGAAAATATTCAATATAACATCGTTACAATATTTAATGATGTAATAGAACATAAAACGACCCAAAAGCAGGATTAGCAGACATTTCTTGCTATTTCCGACGCAGTTATGCTATCTTCTGATACAATATTACATAATTTTGTGCTCTTTGGCATTTGGGAAATGTTTTCAGAAAAGATACCAAAAACATGTATACTAGTCATCATCATCATAAGTATCATCATCATCGTCGTCTTCATCATCGTCATCATCATCATCATCATCATCACCTAATTTGGTTACCCTAATAGTTGTTTTAATTATGAAGTTGTTATTTTGGTCCAGGTAACCATTTTGTTCATCTATCAGCTGGTTCCAGTCTATAAACGAATCCCATCCCCAACCAAACATTGCTTTCGCTCTATAAGTATGCTTCATATTACGCATTACTGTCTTAGCACTAGTTATATTCACCAATGTGAACTTACATTGTGCAGAACAGCTTTTGTTGTATGTTTTTTGCCAGTGCAAATAAACTCCTAAAGTTGAATTATATTCCTCGCTTTCTTTTTGTACACCTAAATACCACGGCTGTCCACTGGTGAGGTAATCAGTACCATAAACAACTTCCATGTCTAAGTCTTCCAAATCAGCCAAGTTAAAAGTACTCGTAAAGCTCGTTTCCTCTTGAATCTCTATAGTTCCTAGTTGTTTTAATATAATGGTTTTATCAATCACCCCTTTCTCAAAATACGTGTATTTTACACCCGGCATATCCAACTTTCTCAAATAGCTCTTTTCTTTTTCATCTTGAACTTGCGGAATTCTGTTGATTACCTGAAGAATTGATTTATCGTTTAAAACATCTGCTGAAGATTTTACACTGGTGTTTAAATCACCAACTGATGTTTTCATTTCTCCAAGAATCTGCAACAGCATTCCGGTTTCTTCAGCACGGGATTTCTCAATCTGACTTTTGACCTCCTCACCAAGTTCTTTAATTTCGCTACAGATTTGTTCAACTTGTTTATCAACAGTTTCGCAAGATGTTTTAGCTGAGTTGTTAATATCTGCTATAACCTTTTCTATAGATTCGCAATATTTTTCAAATTCACTTATTCGGCCCCCTAAAACGTCTTTTAAACTTCTCAATTCTTCTCTGAATTTATCTACATTGTCCCTATCCTGTAAGTCAATGAATTTGTGGGAAATATGGCTAGTCACAAAACAATCAGAGCAAACAGCTATTGAACAATCTTTACAATAACATCTGGCTTCTCTTCCTTGGTGATTTGGACAAACATCCTTAGAATGTGGATCTGAACATGGATTCACAGTAACATCATCCACATTTACAGCTACATGATCTAGACAACCTTTAAAAGAATCGTGTGTTTCTTTACAAGAACTACACAAATGTTGTTGACAGTCCTGGCACCTAACCTTAGCATTAACACCAGTTGTACATACATCACATGGAGGGATTTGATTTATACAAATTAACATGTCTCCTATATCTGAATTAGCAGGGAATTCACCTACACCACCTTCAGGTACCTTCACATATTGACGGCACAATGGACAAGAGAACCGATTGTTAGTCGAGGTCTTGCTGATATAATCTTCTAGACATGCCAAACAGAAGGAATGTTGACAGTCGATTAATTTCGGTTGTTTAAAATCGTTTAAACAAATACTGCAGATTATTTTGTCTATTCTTTCTGACATTTTGATACAATATACCTCACTGTAACCCCCAATACGATTTTTGACAATATAGGCCACTATTCTTCCCCTGGTACAGTACTCTGTAATGCAGAGAATATCAGAGTGTTCAGTGCATTACATTCATGTATATAGTTATTCCTTGTGTACAGTATCCAATTTTCCCAGTAGTTTTCTGTTATTTCCACTTTTAAACACTATACAATGCACACTTGATCAACTGAGTACATATGTGGCCCTTTATGCCATAAATTTTAATACATACTTCTGAGAAATCATTTATATAAATGACACGCCCTTATTCTCGGTAATGCTTAAGTTCAAGGAAGATATACTAGGTTATCCAGGCTGTCGTTAAGTAGTTAATCATTTATATAAATGAAACGCCCTTATTCTCGGTAATGCTTAAGTTCAAGGAAAATATACTAGGTTATCCAGGCTGTCGTTAAATAGTTAAGAGGGCTACTATTACTGTATTGAATTACGGTAATGCATTATTGTGTTATGCAAATAAATCACAAGATAACCTATTTAGCGCATTATCATAATATTGTAAACGAATATTTAGGTTATTATCATATAGTAAACGACCATCTAGATTAGGTCATTGTCTTATATTAAGCGACTATCTAGATTGGATTCAGTAGCGGATCTAGAATCTGTAAATATTGGGCGTGCGGGGTGGCGAGGCGGTCCAAACGTATGGCGCCATCCGCAATCTCACCCTACAATGAATGTCAACAAAATACTAGCTATAACACTGCCCGGGCGCCCCGGTTAAACATAGATTGTATTGCTTATATAAAGTACAAGGCCACAGATCAGGAGTAGAAGAATGATGATACAATGGAATCGAGCGCTGTAGGCGCGAAAAAAATTCAGACAACTACGTATAATATTTATGTAACTCAGGGGGTGCTTACCTGCCCTGATTATGTAACTGTGTATCTGAGTCTTCAGGTAATATGTAATTTAGGACTAGGGGTACTGACTTGGCTTCGGGGGGGGGGGGGTCTCTAAATCTGCGTCTGATTAGATTATTATCATATATTAAACAACACTGGTTGGGCCAATGGCCCCACAAGAACAAAATTCATTGTTAAAGACCACTACGCACAAGCAAATGATTGAAATAAAATTGAACCATGTTAGTCCTGATATGACCTTATTTGTGTTGATTTTACCATGGATCTTTTTGTTTGAAAGTGGAAATATCCCTTTAAAATGTCTGCGATTCTTGTACACTTGGCTTAATTGATCAATTTAAAGTGGATGTGATGTGAATTTAGAAACAGGTTGAGTTGTAGGTGTATTGAGAGCTAATTTATCAGCTTGTTAAGATGAATGACAGAGTTAAAGACAGGAACTATCATGTTGATTTTATCCGCTGAATCTATTTCTGAACTCATCATTAGTCTTTGTTAATGGCAACATCGTACGTTTTTTGCACAATTTCTGTAAGCTCTTAAATCATCGCCGTGTATCCCCTATGTCATGATTCCCAATACAGAGAGTAGGCTTCAAAGTTTTACATTTCTTAAATATACATTTTCTAGGGTATTGTGGTTCATTTTATTGAAGTTCCTATATAAATACCCGCCTTACCCAAACCCCATAGCATTGATTAAGTCAATTATTGTCCATCTTTGGTAAAAACTATTTTATGAGTGATCCGCATTGTCGTGAACTAGTCTCTATCGATAGGTATCATTTAAAGGAGGCAATTCTATAACTCAAAAAAACACGACATATTGGTCAGTTTAAATCAACATTAATGTTGTTATCTTACCGTCAAAAGCTTGGCTTCTGGTATCCAATATTTAAGACAAAATGAAAAATTGGCACAAGAATCATGTGCCAGAATGCTTTCAAGCGCTAGTTGAGTGAAGCGATTCGATGAACGAGAATACTACGGGTGTAGGCTGGAATAACAAGACGCCAAAGTCTGACATTCAATTCTTCTTGTATGTCTCCGAACATAACTAATTAGAAATTACAGTAAAAACAAAAACGGTTGAATGTAAATCAATTTTATATACATTCATATTACATTATTATATACATAGTTGCTACCCATTTGAGTCCATTTCTAGGTGCCAAATAATAGCAATTTAGCTCCTTTAAAATCATGATTTCGTGTTACAGGGAACCTAACATTACCCGTAACCTCGATTCATAGATTCCGGATGTGAAGCAAATGTAGGAATTTAGCTGTTGTTATTAACTGAATTACATGTATTACCTCTTTAAAAAAAATCAAATGAAATGGGGTTTAACGTCTTACTGTTCTGCTCCTAAACTTGGCTAATGAAGACGGGCATACGTCATACAGTGTGCCATGAGAAACATTTTGCCCGGGTAGGGGCCTACTCTTATATCGAAATTTTGCAACTGTCAAGGGATCTTTAACTTGCACGCCAATGTGTACGGGACCTCGGTTTTTCGTCCCATCCGAACCACTAGACAGCTATTCTTGTCAGGTCCTCCGTCCTTAGGATTAGAGGTCAGTGCATCACATAGTTTGTGCCAAAATATGAATTATTCCAATAAAAATAAATCAAAACCATAAATTGTCAAAAATTAAAATACTGCAATACGACGAACACGACTACGATTTGCTATTTACAGAAACGCTGTTGTAAATAGGGTAGCATTCCCAGAGTGGAAGTTACGATTCCTGATATTTGTGTATTTTATGCCTGTTGTTTTTTTTTTTAATAATTTTATACTCATTAATTAAAGGGATAACGTTTACAGTGAGAACTGTACATGAATTAAATTTCCGCATCTCACAACTAACGTTTTCAGTGGGTACTGTATGTGATGGAAATTTTAGCATTCTGGATGACTAGAATACCCGAGTTCTGAATTCAACGACTGGCTTAAAGTTGTGTTGAATGTGCTTAATATTTTTAAAACGCAAAATACGATTTTTCATTTTTTTATGTTCTTGTACCTGTTTATATTTTTTCGAATGCAAGGGAAATTACCATTTGTATATTTTGCGCAAATTTGACTATACATACCGGTATATAAAATTCGCTCCTAAACAGTGGCGAGAGGGGGGGGGGGCTCCCCAGCCTCTGCCCACCAGAAATACGTCCCTATCCTTTTAAACAATCCTAATTTACTCAGCTAATTAGATAATAAAATTGAACCATGTGTTAGTCCCGAAATGACCTAGTTTGTGTCGCGTGGACGTTAAACCCTATTTCTCTCTATCTCTTTCTATTTTCGACGCAGTTATGCTAGATTCTGATATAAATTTCTGCTGTTTGGTATTTTGGAAATGTTTTCAAAAAAGATACCAAATCTATTGTTATCCAGCATTTACAGCGACTGTGCGAGTCAACTCACTTTAGTTTGGTAATACCAGTGTAGTGCGGGTGTAATTTGTTTGGTTTAGGTCTAGTGTTATTCAAATGTGAGTCGTCTGTTGATAGTGCCCAACCTAGTCATCATCATCAGTATCGTCGTCATCATTATTTTTATCTACTCTTGTAACTCTAACAGTTACTTTAATTCTGAAGTTGTTATTTTGGTCCAAGTAACCATTTTGTTCATCTTTAAGCATCTCCCAGTCTATAAACGATGTGAATCCCCAACCTGGTAATCCTGTTGGTGCGTAAGTATGGTTAGTATTACGCATTACTGCTTTGGAACTATTTGTATTCATCAACGTCAGCTTAAATTGTGCAGTGCAGTTTGTGTTGTGTGTCTTTCTCCAGTACAAACAAACTCCTAAAGTTGAATTTTTCAACTTGCTTACTTTTTTTTCTACACCTAAATACCACCCCTGTCCCGTGATGTGGTAATCCGTACCGTAAATACATCTCCTTTTATTGTGTTCCAAATCAGCCAAGTTAAAACTACTCGTAAAAGTTGACTCCTCTTGAATCTCTACAGTTCCTAGATGTTTTAATAAAATGGTTTCATCGATCACCCCTTCTTCAAAACACGTGTATTTTACATCAGGCATAACCAGCTTTTTCGGTTGGGTTTCTTCCTTTTCTTCTTCAACTGTCTGTATTCTGTTTAAAACTTGGACAATAGATTTATCGTCTAAAACATCTACTGAATATTTGACACTGGCTTTTAATTCATCAATTAATATTTTTATTTCGCCAAGATGTTTCGTCAGCTTTTGGGTTTCGTCAGTACGGGATGTTTCAATCTGAACTTGAATTCTTCACCAAATTCTGTAGCTACGGAACAAATTCTGTCAACTTGTTTATCGACAGCTTCGCAGGACGTTTTAGCTGAATTGTTAATATCTGCTATAACTTCTTCCACAGATTCGCAGTATTTTTCAAATTCACTGATGTGATCCCCTAACTCTTCTTTTTAACTTTTGAGTTCCCTTCGAGTTTGAGCGTCGATTTCATCGCTATGCAAATCAACGAATATATGTGAACTGTGGCTGGTCACAAAACAATCAGAACAGACAGCTAATGAGCAACCTTTACAATAACATCTGACTTCTTTCTCGTAGTGATTTGGACAAACATCTTTAAAATGTAGATCTGATTCGTCGGAGCTGGGATCTATAATAGCATCATCCATATTAACGAGCACGTGATCTTGGCACCCTCTTAAAGAATCATGTATTGTTTTACAAGAATTACTCAAATGTTGTTGACAATCCTGACACCTGCACTCAGAAATGACACCAGTTTTACATACATCACACGGTGGAATTTCCATTTTACAAACTGGCCTCTCTGCTATATCTAAATTAGCGGGGAATTCACCCACGCCACCCCCAGGAACGGAGACATAATGACAACATAATGGACAGGGAAAGCAATTGTCTGTAGACACCTTGTTAACATAATCTTCTAGACACGTCAAACAGAAGGCATGTTGACAGTCGATTAATTTTGGTTGTTTAAATTCGTTTAAACAGATACTACAGATTAGTTTGTCTGTACTTTCAGCCATTTTGATACGAGATAGTTTATAGCGTACGGACACCAGTCTTTATTTCAGTGGTATTCTTCTATGACATGGAAGCATAAAATACAGGTCACTGCTACATACAGTATTTAATGGTTAATTATAATTCCACTCTTTCAATATGATTGATTTGATTCATTATAATTCACTACTACATGGATTTCTAAAGTACTGTAATTCAACAGATCACTACAATATAACTAGTACAGAGTGAGTTTAATGTATTCGCCACAGCAATGTTCACTATTATTTCCGAGTATAATGTATAATTCACATATACTATTCAAAAAAAGTAGGGGATATTTGATTTTTAAGTGTTATTAAAGTCACCTAATGAAACTGACGAAGAAACAAATGACAAAATGAAATGAAGTTCACATTCATCGATTTATTCCAAATGATCGTTAGACTAAGTAAGGCACAGACTGACCATTATAAGGGTAAAATGATACCCGGGGTCAAACAGCAAAGTTACCACAGCATCACAACCAAGTCAGTAACGGGTAAATCCTCCTCTGTTTGCCAAACAAGCATTGATCCGACGTGGCATACTCCTAATGAGACGTCTAAGGTCATTTTGGTCCAGATTGTCCCATTCCTGTTGCAACGCAGCAGCAAGTTCTTGGACATTGGCAGGACGTTGTTGGCGTTGACGTAACCTCTGTCCAAGCATGTCCCAGACATGCTCGATGGGGGAGAGGTCGGGACTCAGTGCTGGCCAAGGTAATGTGGTGATGTTCTGTTGTTGGAGGTAACCTGTAACGATCCTGGCCCTGTGACATCTTGCGTTGTCATCCTGGAAGATGAAACGGCGGCCATGACGTCGTGCGAACGGCACAACATGGACTGCCAAGATGTTGTCCCGGTAGTACTGGCCTGTAAAACGCCCTGCAACAACATGTAAAGCCGTTCTTCCAGCAACAGTGATGCCTCCCCACACCATAACAGAACCACCCCCAGATCGATCATGTCTGATGACGTTAACGTCTTGGAAGCGCTCGTTTCGACGACGCCACACCCTCCTACGTCTGTCCAAAAAATCAACAGTGAACCTTGACTCATCTGAAAACATCACATTGCTCCAGCGTCGATTATCCCAGTGTTGACGATCCCTACACCAACGACGTCTTGCCTGAATGTGATGATCTCTCAAACAAGGGATCACGCGAGGACGTCGGGCGCGAAGGTGACGCCTATGCAGTCGATTCCGAATCGTCTGGCCACTCACTCTCACACCAGTGTCTGAAGACGAGCGCTGATCTGATTTGCTGTGATGACACGATTTCTCAAGGCCAAGGTACGGATAAATCGATCCTGGGCTTGAGTTGTCGCCCTTGGTCGACCTGAGCGTGGTCTGTCCTGTACAGATTGTGTATCACGGTATCTGGACCATAGCCTGCTTATGACAGACTGAGAAACATTCATCGTCCGCGCCACAACCGCCTGTGTTGTGCCGATCTGTAGCATGCCAAGGGCACGTAACCTTTCATTTTGGGTAAGCCGACGCATATCAAAATTTGTTTTCTGGTCACTAAAACAATTAAACTGATGTTTCCACCCTGGAATTCAATGCCACAATGACTGTAACATTCAAAGTCAGAGTCGTGCAAATCTTGGGTTGGACCCCCATGATGATCCCAAGCATCACCTGCATTCCATGCGGTAGCTATTGGTGCGTTTGGGCGTCACATGTAACTGGAAATGTTTCTTCTGTTAGGTTCTATAGTGGCTTTTTTCGTAGTCATTTGCATATTTTAGTATTATGCCCCCAAAATCAAATATCCCCTACTTTTTTTGAATAGTATAGTAGACGAATATAGCTCACTATACGACCAGGATATACAACATATGCATAATTCACGATATAACATTTTACATCAACATTTTGACCCCTTTAATCCAGCGTCTTTAACGCAGGAATGTATACCTCCACGTAGCCTTTTAAGCGTTAACATCTCCATTGTGTGTGTCTATTTTAAGTTTGACCAGGTAATTCTTAGAAATCCTTTGTATAAAATGAAACGCGCATATGCCCAAGTCAGCTATTGTTGCGTTCAAGGTCGATAGACTAGGTTATTCAGTCATTTAAGTAGATTTACTATAGTAACGACATATCACGTATGATATATCTCTGTAACTAAAAGGCATACATCATTTCTCGACATTACCCGAGGTAAGAATACTGGGGTCGGCCTGGAATTTTCATGTCAGGGGTAGCTTCTGCGGGTCCCATGAGAACAGCGATGTCCGATCATTCGGTGAAACGATATATCGCGGTACATTTAGCGTGCATATAAAATAATACCCCTAGACGGCTCAAATTTCAGTAGGCGCAACATCACCGTCGGGTCAAAATCCACTTTTCACGCAGTGTATAAAATATAATCGTAAATTAATTTCAAAATAACTGAATTATTGTGTTGACAAGAAACACTTTAAACTTCGCCCAGTCATTTGATATCCGGTGATATTTAATATTTGTCATGCTCTGGTGCTTTAAAGCATAACTAACACGAATAATCTTAATCAATCAGTGTTTTTGGACTTGGTTATTCGATATTAAAATAAAATGAAACAGTGAAAACGTGATGTCTTTTTGTAGTTCTAATAACTATACACCTGATTCTGCTGCAAGGATTCTTTCTGTTCGACTTTACGTGCGCTACCACGTAATATCACACACACGGCTAAAATCATCGTCCTGTATTTCATTTAAGCTGCAATTGGGAGCTCGCCGTGTGATTAATATTTTCCTTTGTAAACCTGTTCCTCTGTAGTTTGACACAAAGTATAATTTTTATGTAGCATTTCGAAGAGGACACTCCCATTCTTATTAAGCAAATAGGAGTATCTGCGTCGATACGTTCCATAGTAATAAATGCGTTAATTTTTATATCCATAAACATTGTTCCCGTGTGTCAACATGTCCAATTACTCAATGCCTCCGTAGTTTGATTTTAACAAAATTTATTCATAAAAAATGAAATGTAAGTAAAATAAGACGCGTGTAAGCATCATATGAAATACATTAATCATACCGAATAAGGATATCCCTAATAAAACAAAGTAATAATGAAAATATATGTTAACTATTTAGAAATTATTTAAAAAAGCATTATGCAGAAGCATTATAAAGATCGTTCATTATCTTAGCAACGGTACTTGACATTCCTGGGGGGGGGGGGCGAATGGTTAGCACATGCCCCCCGTATCATAAGGTCTCTCATTGAGTCAACTGAAGTGGGTTCGATTCCCCGTTTGTACATGACAAGGAGGTAGGGTCGCCTGTCCAGCCTCGTGGGTTTTCTCCGGGCCCTCCGGTTTCCCCCCACTGCTAAAGACCTCTACGCGCAAAGCGAAATATTGAAATAAAATTGAATCATTTGTTAGTCCCGAAATGATCTTGTTTGTCTCGAGTGGCATTAAACCATCTCTCTCTCTCTCTCTCTCTCCCTCTCTCTCTCTCTCTGGCGAGCCTCGATTGTCCATTCTATCGTTAAATCTGGCGGATGTTTAAATCCATTTCAATCTCGACAATCCGATGGTCTAGAGAGTTGATTATAGGCTTGTCATGTTAATTAATGATAATTCATATAACCAATGAAGCCAAAAGAAAGACCTGCAATAGGGGGATTTAGCTCTTATATAAAGCATCTTTAATATTAACAAATAATATAATTATCCATACACAAATCCAAGAATAGCTGGTCAGGTTTCTAATAACTTTATAGTTAGTATACATCATAACAAATACATTAGTCATTATACAACCCCGTCTTCATTATTCCAGTTCCATCATAATAAATATACATAATATATATTGAATATCAAATGCAATGGGTTTAACGTCTTGATATTCTGCACCAGTCAGGCTAATGGCGTTTGGCTTACGCTATTCAGTTTACTACGAGGGAAATGTTGCTCGAACACGGGTGCTACGACCTACTATTATTTCAAATTCCAACTGACAAGGGAACCTTTACGATCACTACTAATTTGTACACGGGACGACAAGACCTGCTTCTTTGTCAGGCACTACTAACAATGGGAGCTAGGTTGGAATATTCCAAAGGGACAACACTAGGGTCGAACCCTGGAAATATCTAAAGATAAATTAAAGTAATCGATGGAATTAAAAAATATTAATCGATGGAAATTACAAAAAAAATATTTAAAAAAACAACAAAACCATGTCCACAAATTAAAAAAAATAGTAACCAATACTGCGAACACGACTGGGTATAATTTTACATCAACGGAAACGTTATTACAAATGGGTTACTGCAAATATAATCGCCTTCCCAGGGTGAAAGGTACACTTCGTGATTATTGTGTATTGTATGTCTAGACTACCACATGTCAGAATTTCACAAATCGTTTAAAGCAGTGACGCGTGTCGTCTTGTATGAGGTAAGGTATGCTTTACCTTTCTACACAGTTAACCTTTTTCGTTGTAATTTTATTGCACTTGTTTTGTGCAAAATGGACCAAAAATCATAATTGTAATCTATCTGAACAGTTGTAGCACAAATGTAACCATCACGAACCAACCATTTCAAAGATCTTTATTTTAACATCTCATCACTAGTTGTGTTCATCAATGTGAGCTTAAATTGTTGGTACTGGGTTTCTCCAGAACAAATGAACTCCTAAAGTTGAATTATTAAGCTTGTGTACTTTTTTAACACATATATACCACCCCTGTCTGGGGATGTAGTAACCAGTGCCTTGAATATTTCCCCCTATTTGTGTTCCAAATCAGCCAATCTTTACAGCTCCTAGATGTCTTAATAAAAAGGTTTTATTAATTACTCCTTTTTTAAAACGCGTGTATTTCACATCAGGCATATCCAACTTTCTCAAACTGCTTTCTTTTTTTTCTTCTTGAACTCGCGCTATTCTGCTGATAACCTGAGCAATAGATTTATCGCCCAAAACAGCTATAGAGTATTCGACACTGGCTTTTAATTCATCAATTAATACTTTCATTTCTCCACGATGTCGCGCCAGCTTTTGGGTTTCGTCAGCACGGGATGTCTCTATCTGAACTTTGAAATCTTCGCCATATTCTTTAGCTTCGCAACAGATTCGTTCAACTTGTTCGTCGACATCTTTGCAAGACGTTTTAGCTGACTTGTTAATATCTGATATAACGTTTTCTATAGATTGGCAATATTTTTCAAATTCAGTTATTCGATTTCGTAAATTTTCTTTTAAACTTCTCAATTCTTCTCGGGATTGATCTGCAATTCCCTTGTCATACAAGTCAATGAATTTGTGTGAACTATGGCTCGTCACAAAACAATCAGAACAAATAGCCCTTGAGCAATCTGTACAATAACATCTGGCTTCTCTCCCGTGGTGATTTGGACAAACGTCTTGAAACTGGTGATGTGGGTTATCCGGATCGGGATCCACACTGGTACCATCTACATTTATGAATATGAAATCCCAACATCTTTGAAAAAAATTCTTGCATCTGAACGTAAAATTAACCCCAGTTTTACACGCACCACATTTTGGAATTTCTTTTTTGCTAACTAACCTCTCTGCTATAT